GAATCCCTGTGACTGGCTTTGATTTGAGTCAGAGGAGAAGAGCTTTACACCCACACTGCTGAAGAGAGATGAGCACACCCTGCACTGCACCCCGGGGGCTGAGCCCTGAGCGCACTGCTTGCATTTACAACCTGTATCAACGTATCTTAACCTGGGCTGGTACTTTTACAGTTATTCAGCTGGATGAACTAAGTATTACTGACAGAACACAGTCCATTTTTAATAGCTTTATCCACCAGGCAGAGGATATCCTGCACTCGCAGCAGCTCTGTTGTCCCACAGGGGTGGAGAGCAGGGAGCAACTTCATATACCCACTAAAATAGCGGCCTGTCCTGGTATGCAAGTGCCCTCATTTAATGCCTAAACATGGTATCTTGCTACCCAGGCTGGCAGGGCTGCCAGTTCATACTCCAGCCCTGAAGGTGAACTGTGTGTCACTCAGCAGTGGCTCCTGCTGCAGGGAAGGTCAAACAGCCCCTTGCTTTCGGCTGTGCTGCTTAACCTCCTGGGTGACAAGCAGCTGGGCTGCAGGATGAGAACAGCACATTAACATGACTGCTACTTTATTAAACTGAACCATTTCTCCAGGAAGAGTTGGGTCTAACCCCCACTGAAGTCAAGGGGGCAGTTTTGGGGGAGGATCAGCTCTAGTGGGACCCTACCCCATTCACAGGAGGGCAAAGCATCTCCAGAAAGACTGTGTCTTTAAGTGTCAAAAAAGGTGATGTGGGCCCTGGCTGTCCTCTTGTGTTCAGGGCCAGGGACATCATAACACTTTTGTGAGCCCCTTCTGATCACTCCACTAAGCTGGAACTTCACATCAGATTTGCATCTTTTGACTATTTAAGAAAATTATCAACTCTGAAAGCAACTGGAAAGCTGCACCAACAACAGTTTCAAAGACAACAAAGCTCAGCCAGAAGGATGGAGCCAGTGCAAGGATCCAAAAGGAAGAGCTGGAAAAGGAGGAAACTATGTTTGTAGGTGTACCAGCTGGAATAATAACTGCTTGTCCTTCTTGCAGCTTTCCTCATGGCTCTTTATGGGCGAGGTTTTAGGAAAGGGGTCGCTTTGCCTGCCATCAGCCCTTCCTGCATTTGCATGTACTTGTGCCTCTGGCAGCTCTGTGCTAGTTTCTGTAGGCAGGCAACAGTCGAGCTGCAGAGTGGGAGGATGACCTTCCCCCACCATGGCCTTCTGGATCTATAGGCAAAGAAATGTTCAAAACCAGAGAGAAACCACCCAAAGTGATGAGCCTCCTATCTATCTTTTTGGGTTTTATGTTCTGAACCTTTATCCTTCATATTACACTGTGTGGCACTGATGCTGAACAGTATGGGTCCAAATCACTAACAGTATTTCTTGTGGTCCCTTCCTGGAGCCAGGTCCTTTTTCAGCTGCTGTGGCAGGATGCATCCCGCTGAACACACGGAACCAATCTAGCCAGCCCCAAATGGCCACTACAACAAAAGCAGGCCACCCTTCTCCAAGAAACCCTTACCCAAGTTCTGTTTTGTTCATTTTAACATATTCATCAATGAGGCAAAACCCCCATTAAAAAGAAGCCTGACAAACACTTAGACGGATTTCCCAAGACTTCCCCAGCAGGAATGTGATTGCAATGAAATAATTCCTCTTGCAACTTTAAGGCTTGTCATGAGGGCCAAGAAAGTGTCAACATTTCAGGCTGACCTCCGAAGTAGTCACAGGGGTGCAGGTACCATCTGAAACCAGCCCTGTGCCCTTGGCGGCACCAGCCCCTTCCCAAGCACTACAACACCTGCTTTGCTGCCCATCCCTGGACCATGCTTCTCCCAGTTCTCTTCCTGTGGCTGGGTTGTTCTCATGCACTGCAGTCCTGGCATGCTTCTCTGATTCATAGAATCATATGATGATTAGGGTTGAAAGGGACCTTAAAGCTCATCCAGTTCCAACCCCCTGCCACGGGCAGGGACACCTTCCACTAGAACAGGTTGCTCCAAGCCCTGTCCAACCTGGCCTTGAACACTGCCAGGGATGGGGCACCCACAGCTTCTCTGAGCAACCTGTGCCAGGGTCTCAGCACCCTCACAGGGAAGAACTTCTTCCTAATGTCTAATCTAAATCTACCTTCTTTCAGTTTAAAACCATTACCCCTTGTTCTATTCCTACATAGTCTTGTAAAAAATCCCTCTCCAAATGTGAAACTCAAACTGGTCCTGCTACATGGCTTGACCTGTTTCTAACAACTGAGCCAGCAGAGATTTAAATGAGCTCCGCTGCCAGTGCTGGAAGCCTGATCTGGGGCACCCTGGCCTCATGCGTCACCGCCTGCAGAAATCGCTGGTGTCACTGAAGTAGTTTCATTTTGTGTCAAGGAGCTTCTGCATCCCTTCCCCCATGCCAAGTGCTGTGCAAACCTTGGGAATCCTCCCTCTCAACACTCTGGCATGGTATAATTCTAGACATTTGAGGGACCTCTAACAGTACGTGCTTTAAATGAGACAAGCAATATCTTCCTCACTTCTCTCAGATAAATAAAGTGCAGACTCTAATCTTCTAGTTCTCTGTTCTTTGTACTGATTTTCCTTCACATGTATAAATACCATCCTGTCATTCCTTCCACATGTGTGGCTTACAGATATTACCTAAAAGATGCTATTTTATATTTGACTCCCATATATTTAATAGGCTTGTGGACTATAGGAAGGTGCCATGCTGAAGTAAAGATACACTTTGCGTGATGTTTTTCACACAGATGTATCTTTTCATGCCTGTAAGGACTCACATGGCACAAATGCTTCTTTAGATCAAACAACAGACAAGGAGAAAATGTGTTTTGTAAGCAGAGAGACGACCCAAGTATAAAGTCGTTTGCAGAATGTGTGTGAATTTTATGTTTCCTGGTCTTTGGTTTCTCCTGGGACCTTACATATTTTGCATTATTATCAAATATTTGCAATGATCCATATAAACAGCCTCATGTTAAAGGCTACTCCAAATGTAACTTGACCCAGAGGAAAGATGCTTATCTGAGCTCCACAATGACAGATTTAAAAAAGATGCTGATGCAGTTTGGCTCTCAGAAAGCGAGGGAAATGTAAGAAAAAACTAAACTGCAGAGATTTTTTTCTTTTTTTTTTTTTTAACCAATAGATAAAGTAGGAGTTATCTCTCTGTCGGCTTTCACAGTGGAACACCACTTGAAAAAGCTACACATACCAGCCCTTCTGCTCTGGGACACGTTAGGCAGTGAAAGGAGGAGAGCAGTAGATGCTCCACGTGCCTGTACTGTCAGAGTCTATTTCACTGTTTGGTAAGTATTTTTTTGTTATTACTATGACAACACAGACCATAAGCATTATTTCTTTAACCCCAGCAAATGATAAGCGCAGATGAGATCTTTTTTTTTTGGCTAACTGAAGTCACCTCTTTTCACACCTTCGATGCCAACCCCCGTGGAAGAAAGTGATGACAAATATCAGGATGACTTGCCCTGCCCTGCCTCCTGCTTGCCTGTGCAGCCTGCAGCTGGGGCTGCTGCAGGGTGGCACTCGGACCATTATTGTGTATCAGGAGGCACTGGAGAAAGGCTCCACAGTGGCTCAGCACTTGCTGTCTTAAAAAAAAACAACAGAAAGCAGCAGCATTCTCCTTTTAAAGTGCTTCCAAATCTTTTACATCGCTTTTCCTTTTCTCTCTTTTCAACCCCCACCTTTTTTTTTTCCCCTCTTGTGGTCCTGGAGACCACCCTGTAAGTCTACATGACATCATGAGAGAGAATGAAATGTACTTGAAAGGCCACTTCTGTTTTGGTGGGAACTTCTATGCAATTGCAAAGTGCCCATTAAAGCACAGGTTGTTTCCTAGAAGCATGTCCAAGCCAGTAGCGTGCAAACCCCTTCAGGGCTTCTAGAAAGCATTCGCTTTTGAAATGCTGAAGGAAATTCAGAGATGAAAGGATAAGTCTCCCTGGCTGTGCATTTACAGTCTATTGTCTTCCATGAAGGATAGTATCACTCCTCAGTTGTGTTATTGCAGTTAATCCACTTAAATGCTATTGGATTTTCAGATGAGCTGAATTCTTTGCATCTGCTATTAAGATGCTTTGTTTAGATGAGAAAGGGCTGTTATTTAAATCACAATGAGTTCAGGGAGATGTCAGGGTGCAGCGGGCACCTTGTCCCGGTCTGCGCGGGGGGACAGGGGACATTTGCTCTTCGGGGAGGGAGGAGGCAAGAGGGAAGCGACCTGCTGCTCCCGCCCGGCTCCGGTGCTCCGCTGGCCGGCACTGGGCTTGGGGGGGGGACACGACTCGGGGCGCCGCATCTCCGCGGCCGCGGTGGGGAGCCCCTCTCCCGCGCATGCCGCAGCCGGGTGCCGCAGGGCGGAGGGAGCCCGCTGCCCCCCCAGCGGCCTTCCATTTATTTTTGTGGGGTGCTTTTCTGTTTCTTAAGGAGGAGGTGCGCGTGTGTGTGTGTGTGTGTGTGTGTGTGCTCTGTGCAATGAAGGCTGCGCTGCCACAGCAGCGAAGAAGCTACGTTAAAACAAAAATCACAACACAACCCACCGCCGCTCTGCCCCTCCCCTTCGGCAAAAGGCAAAAGTGTGTGTGTGTGTGTGTGGGGGGAAATAAATAATAACAATTAAACCCCTCACCAACCCACCCGACCCTTCCGTGGCCACGGCCATCTCCTCCGCCTTACATAAAGGCAGGGGCACAAGGTGGATCCCGGGAGGTTGGTTACCCGGAGGCTGCTGCGCAGAGCGCCCGGCCCTTCCCCCGCGCCGCGCCGTGCCGTGCCGTGCCGTGCCGCAGAGGGACGGGGGGCGGCTCCCCATTCCCGGCTCCTCTTCCCCCCCACCCGCCCGCTTTCTGACATGTGGGCAGAGCCCCCGCGCCCCGCCAGCAGCCGTGCAGCGGGCGGCACCCCCCACTACTTGTTGTTTGTGGGGCTGGTGCCAGGAAAACCGGGGGGGAGGGACGGGGGAGGCGCATGGCGGGGAGCGGTATATGCTGCTCCGCGCCGGAGCCACGCTCCAGACCGGCCACCGCTCCGGAGCGAGCCCGAGCCCTTCCTCCGCCAGGAGTTGCAGTTCGTCTCCGATCCCCTTGGGATTTAAACCTTCTTGCGTATATATATATAGATATATATATATAATTTTACCCCCTTTCCTCCTCCTCCTTTTTCTCCCGTGCAAAGTGGAGAAGGAACTGCACCAAGGCAGCCCGCGAGATCTCGCAGTATTGCTCCTATTTATCACTGCTATTATTCGTAATTGATTATTATTTTTAACCTCGCCGCAGCCGGGGAGGGGAGCGGGACCATTCCCGGCAGCAGGAACATTGCGATCCTTATCAATAAAGATTTTTGATTTTTTTTTACCCCCTCTGCCCCACCCCCCCGTCCCCCCGCTTTTTGAGAGAGGGGAGCGGGTGGAGGTTGAGCGCAGCGGGGTGGGGGGAAGCCGGCAGCCAGCTCCGGCCCCCCGGTCCCGGTCCCGGTGTCGGAGCGGGAGGCCGCGGCGGCAGGGGGAGGCGGGCCCCGGCGCCGCCCGCCGAGAGGGGGGCCAGCCGCCCCAGACAGGTGATGGGCGTTTCGGCTGCGCTCCGGATCGACTCCTTGGGTTTCACTTTGGTCTGATCTAAGCAAATATGCAGAAGTACCGGCTGGTCTAGTCCTAAGAGCCAAGAGGAGCGAGCGAGAGCGGCGGGAAGGAGAGCGGCCGCTCTCCCGTAGCGAGGGGAACATACAAACAGCGGCCGCGCCGCGATTCAAGCACCGCCGCCCCGAGGCAGCCCCGACCCGCCCTGGATGCGGAGCACCCCCGAGCCGCCCCGCCGCCTTTCCCCTGAGGGATGGTACTGAATCTCTGCGCGGCAGGAGCCGGCCTGCAGCTCCTCTCCATCAGCGTTGCCTTCCCTCCGTGTCTAAAGTGCACTAGACCGCGATGAGGACCTGGGCTTGCGTTTTGCTGATAGGTTTTGGCTACCTGTCCTTTACCTTCTCCGAGGTAGGTGAGAGCGGCTTCCTGCGAGCTCGGTCCCTGGGGCACGCCGCGGCCGGGCTCGGTGGAGGGCGGGAGGGGGGTGGTGGTGGTGTGTGCTGCCCACCTGGGTTCCGCGGCATCCCCGGGCCCCTCCGCGAGCGCCCGCCCCGACCCAGCCACAGCCCCGGCGCGGCCGAGGCAGAGACGGAGTTGCCATTTCGTGAGGGGTCAGCGGCGTAGGAGAATAATGACCATGCATTCCGCTCCGGGGCCGCTGGCTGCCCTTGACATGTGTGTATATTATATACATACTCTGTATTACATACATATACATATTCACGCCCCGCGGGCGCTGTCGGGCTGCGGCGATTTGCGGGCAGAGGGGTGCTTGGAGCCGCAGGGCAGCGGCCGCCCCGCGGCGCACGGCGCTGCACGCCCCCGGCCGCGGGCACCGTGAGTGCCGCGGGCAGAAGTTGGTTTAATTCCCCCCAGCCAGGTGCCCCTCCCGCGTGGTTGAAGAGCACTGGGCGCAGGGCGGGTGAGGGCCGGGGGCCGCTCGGGGAGAGGAGCCGCTGGTGGGGTGGCTACAGGTGGCCCCGGTCGGGGCGGGCGCGGTGCACGGCCACCCGTAACTTTTCCCGGGACCGGGTGTGCTGGCACTGGGAGCCGCGGTGTGGGCGCTGGTGGGATGGCGGCGGCCCCGTGGGACACGGTCCCCCCCTCTCCTTCTCCTGCTCTCACCGGGTCCGGGCAGCACCGCGCCCGCCGCGGACTTGACGCCTGCTGGGGTGAACTTCGGCGGCGGCTCCCCGGGGCGGGTTTCCAGCCGTGGAGTTCGGCTCGCAGGCGCAGCTCTGCCGGGCACACGCTCCTCCGAGCCGGGCTGCCGCCCCATGAGCCGTGGCGCAGTTCAGCGGGCGGGAGCGCTCCAGCGCCCGGCGGAGCCGAGGGAAGCGTGTGTGTGCGGAACTGACCCCCGTTTCATCAAACACGTCCAGCAAGCACCCTGCACCCTCCGTAAAGCCCCCCCCCCAGCCCCCAAGCGCCAGATCCCTGGTGCTGCAGGGGTGCTGCGCAGTGACCCGCGGTGTGTGTGTGTCTTTGAAGGAGGCCGAGATCCCGCAGGAGCTGATCGAGCGGCTGGCGCACAGCGAGATCCACAGCATCCGCGACTTGCAGCGCCTCCTGGAGATTGACTCCGTAGGTAAATTAGTCCCGTCCTCCTTCCTTCCGCGCCGTCGGCCGCCGCCGCCCCGGGGGGGAGGCACAGCGGGCGGCCGCGGCGCAGCACCCCGCACGCCTCTCCCCGCTCCGTCAGGCTGCATCCCCTCCGAGACGTGAGGCGTGCGGGACCCAGCCTCGAGAGCCAGGCTGCCCTGGGCACGGGAGCTTCATTTCAAAGGGAGGCGGCGGCCAAAGGGGCCGATCGGGAATTAAAAACTTCGGGGGGCTCAGGGTGGAGAGGGACCTGGTGACCCTCTGTGTTTTCAGACCTCTCCGTCTCTCAGCGGAGAGGAATTTCCATAAGGTTTGTTGTTGGTCTTGCATTGCTCTGTTATCTTTAAACTACTGTCCTAGAGGTATTTAAAATATTTGAAACAATATTTATGAATGAAGTAATGTCTCTTCAAGCACTGGGCTTTATTAAAAGGAAAATAAACCATCCGCGCTGATTTTAAACAGGAACCTGCATATGAAGCTTACCCTTAAAAATACACTTTTTTTTTTTTTTTTTTTTTTTTTCCCCGAAAAAGAAAATAGCGCAGGGCTATTTTCTGCATCATTAGGCATGCAAATGGGTGTAGTGAGAACGTGCAGCTCAAGCAGATCGTTGCAGCAGTAAATCAGATCTAGAAGCACTGTAGTACTGGGTTTCTTATCATTTGGTTTCACTTGCTGCACTTTGTTCCTGGTGATTTCTTCCCCTAGTTGAGAGAGAATAAGCCCGGCACCTTTGATGTGCCCAAGGGAAACCTGCATCTTTCTGAAGAGCAAACATGGTGAAAAATGAATGAGTTCTTGCTACGTTGGTACTGGGCCATCTCCTTTTAAGCCATATGCTGTGTATTTTTGTAAAGTCTGTGCCAGGTTCAGTCACCTTCATTCAGTGTTGCAGGATCCTTCTAGAGTTTAACTCGCTGCTTTTTGTGTAGTGCTGTATTAATGAGCAGGAATGCACTAGGAGCGTGCTTTACAGACAGAGCTTTCCATTTTCATGTGCTTAGGGAGCAAACGGTTTCTCATTACACTGAAAATGGGAATATTTCTTACACAACAGTTTACCATAGAGGCTAATTACTAATTGCCACATTTGTTGGCATTATTTTCATATTTTTGGAGAGCAGTGCTTCATCATTATTGCTTATCACTGCAATTAAAAAAGCTTTCACAACAGGGAGGGGGTATGCAATACATATTTCCCCACTGAAGACTGTTTTGGACCAGACAAGTGTACTACTGCTAAAATCTCTTTTCCCAGTGAACTCAGTGGAAGGCTTGGCTGCCGTTGCAGAAGGGCTGGATCTGAGTGTTTTAAAATACTGCATGCTGCTTCTGCATGTGAGGCAGTACTCTGTAGCTACCAGAAGATATTATTTTTTCAAATACCCCAGTGTAACAAGCACACGCTTCATTTTTAAATACCACTTAGAAGGAGAGCAAAAGTTCACATGGCTCCATTGCAAGGGAGTCAAGCAGACAAGTGAAGCTGAATAAATTAGTGGATGTAGCAGAGAAATTTATTCCAGAAAATAATTATTTACCTCGTGGCAAATATTAACCAGAGGATGCACGACCAAAAATTGAAGAGGTCAGCCGCAAGTTTACTGTTTCATTTTGCTGTTTTTGTGCAGCTTGTCAGGTTAGAACCCATTAGAGAAACAAGACACATAAATATTTCACTATTTCAACATGAAACAGTAATGCCTTAAGACATGAACTCAAGATTAAAAAATAAACCCAAAATACTCAGCCTTTCATCCTCTTCTTGCTTATGTGAGTGCTCTTTCTGCAGGTGTGCTAAGCTTTATTCTGGGCTACATAGGCAGGACTGGATCTTCATGGGGAGTAACTGGTCTTTACTCCCTACAGTGCGTTTTCTGGGTACAGTCCTTCAGTCTTTAGTGTCATCAGTAATTCTTATTAAGGGTTTATCAGAGTGACTTATCAAACATTGAAATCACCATGTTTTCTTCAGGAAACTGGATTAGGCCTGTTTACTATATTTAGTATTAGCTTGGATTAGCAAATCAAATGTTTTCTAGTTGTCACTGGTAAGGTGGTATTTCTGAAACGTATTTCCTTAGGGCTGTAATTGCATTTAGGGAAGGGCTGGTTCAGCGAGGTCTTGTCCAGTAGATACATTTCTGTTTTATAGCATATACTGATTTAAACTGAGGCTCAGAATACAAACACTCCAGTGATTATTTTCTCACTCATTTTAGTGCATGGTGTTGCCAGTCCTTCTGCATGTGAGTAGCCCTGTTTAAACTCAGTGGGTGGACTTGAGAATTAAGAATGATCTTGTAGGGTAAGAGTTTGCAGGATCAGGCATGCATGCAAAAAATGTCTGATATTCCTGAGTAACAAGGCAGAATCTGTGAAAAATGAAGGAAGAACAGCAATTTTCTCTCCTGCAATGCAAAGCATATATTTTTAATTGGAAAAGTAAGTTTTGTAAGTCAGAGTGGGCAGGTTTTTCTTCTATTCTGACAGATTTGGTCTCTATATTGTAGCACAGAGATGACTGATAACCCCCTTCGTAAAATTAGAAACCACACCCCCAGACCATCTGGCATATTACTTAAAGAAAAACAGTACCCAACATGGAGCTTATCATTGTATTCAAAAAAGAAAATCCAGGCCAGTTTGTCAGAGCCCAGCGCTGCATGTCCAATGCAAAGAGAAACCCCTGTAAGGGCTATAGGAAAATCCTCTGTTTATATCAGAAAACAGGGTCTTGTATTAATTTGCTACGACTGGGATCCATAGTTGGCAACGGAGTTTCATTGGCGTGACGGAGAGCAGAGTGTGACCCTATTTAAAACAGAAAGCGTGCAGGATCCCAGGAAGTAGGCAGCTGTAGCGTGCAGAGTACAGTTTTACTACTAACAGCCTAAATCACTGAAACGGGGGCATTTCCCATGTGCCGCCTGTGAAGTGCTTTGGCTTAGCAGCGTGGTTTTTCTCCTCGCGCTTCACCTCTCCCATCTGTCCTGTGGGAGGTAGGGTTCATTTCATCACCTATTATGTTTGCCTCCCGCTGGGAACAGATTTTTCCCCCAGTCATCTCCCTGCGTGGGGAAAGGCAGGGCTGAGTGTGCTTCTTCGCATGGTTTAAGGGCATCAACCACAGGGTCGCCTTAGGCCATGTGAATTTAACGGCCTGTGATTAAGAACTAGCAGAGCAGCTTTTGTTAAGTGGAGAAATGTTCTAAATTAACAGTATACTTTCAGGGAGAAGTGTTAGATTGCTGCAGAGCTCAGTCTATTGGAAAATCTGCTGCAGACTGTGGCTTGTGGCATGGCACTGGAATTAAGGATGTTACAGTGCAACGTGGTTGTGTTCCTTGCACCTCTTAAACATCATGAGAGGCGGGCATCTGCCATGTGTTTTTCCTGAGACAGACAGAGGGAATACTCCTCTTCCTTTACAGCTGGTTGATCACATCTAGGTAAATGGAAAAAAGCCCGAAACAAAACAGGATCTTGCAGGCTGCTACTTATATTTCCTTTAATAGATCAAAGTTGAAAACTTAATGACATCTATCTCTGCAGTTGGATGTCAGAAGGGCATATTTTGCATCAGCCAGAAGGAAGATCAAACAAGCAGATTGACATTGCCTTGGGCTTTCTGGCTCTAGGACTGATTTGTAAGACAGACCAGTTCAGTTTATGGTACCTTACATTGAATTCCTGGGAAAAATAAAATAATAAAAAAAAAAATACTAAAAAAATACTCCTAAACTGCTGCTGTTGGTACTGGAAGTCTTGGACCTCTACTTTTTGGATGCACATCAAAGCGATGTCTAGTAGGGTTTGTGTTGACTGCATGCATTGGGGATTGTACCTCACATAAAATTGCTTGGGAAGGAGATGGCAATGTGAAAGGATAAATTGATAAATAGAAAATAGCAGTAGTCTTAGGATGCTTTCCACATGCTTATTTAGTGGGAAGAGTAATCACATACTGGCAGAATGTCACAGGAACTCCTGTGATTTATACTCCATGACCCCATGGAAAAATGCCAGTCTGACAAAAAAGAACAATTTCAGCTACACTAATGGATTGACCAAGGCTAATTGCAAGAGTTTTTGTACCCATCATTGATAAGTTGTCAGTACAGGAAAGATTACAGAAGAAATTTCTTGATCTGCTGCCATGAAAACATTTTTTTGGTATTATTAAAACATTGAGAGCTGCGTTAATCTGGCTCCGTGCAGCATCCTCCATCTTCACTTAGAGACAAGCAGTGTTCAATTTCTAAACTAAGAACCACCCGTTTCTAAGCTTTCGGCTTGGAGCCTCATTTTGTGAGGCGCTAAGCACCCATAAACTCCCATTTCCTTTGCTAAGAGCATATCCTTATCCTACATGCTCCTAGATCGGTACATTAAGGGGAAAAACTGGTGCAAATTAGGCATCAGGCTTCTTTAAAGTCAAACTAGGGAGTGCTGTTTATCATCATTGTTTTAATGAAATAAAAGCCTTCTGGCCACACATCCAGAGTCAAGTGTGGGTTTCAAAGCTGACTTTCTGATTTTTCAGTCCTGCTCAGGCAAGACTCCTGTTGATTTAAAGATTGCTTGAAGTGCAGTGATTTTCCCATTGGCTTCACTGGGAAATGGAATTCCTTCCAAATGCCTGTGGGGGTCAGGGGAACCCCTTTAGCATTGTAGCATCCTCTGGCTCCAGCCATGTGCTCCATAATTCTGTTTATTAAAAAAGAAAAAACAACACAACACCAAGCACAAACACATCAGTGCTGTGTCAATAGAAAGAATACAATTTGTGATGCATAATGCATTGAGGTTTGACTGGAACTCATTTTGCAGTCTGCTGTGCTAGCTGCGTAGATCTCTTTCTTGAACCCCCGCAGCGAGACATGAACTTTTGAAATGATATACATGCCTAAGATATGTAGTGAGACAGTGAGATACAGTATGAGCCAGAGGCCTTCCTCACCTTAGAAATCATCTTATAAGCAACACATGCTCCTCGACATGTCATTTTGCTTTATAAACATGATGATAGAATATGGCTAATTGCAGCGGAGTTGAGCAGTTATATATAAGCACATGGCTTAACATATTGGTTAGCTGATCATCCTATTCCTTTAGTCTTACTAGTTTCTTTAAACAAGGCAGCAAGAATTCAGTCATGTTAGGAGGGAGCTGTGCCAGCGTGTTGAATGTGGGATTAGGACCTGTGGCTCAGGCCTGCCGTACAGTTGGCATCATCAACAGTTTCTCTTTTCAGCAGGATGTCTGAGCCCACCAAGCAGTTCGGATTAGAGGCATTAGTTTTGTGTTTTATCTTTTTTAAACAGTGTTTATACTCGAACAGAGATGCTTCTTGCTCTGAGCCTAGCTTAGCTCTTATGCTGAGCAGAAGTCATGCTGCTTTCTTTTGAGTATCACTTCATTGCCCCAAATTGAGGGAGACACTGTGACAACTTGAAGCTGTCAAACAGCAGGTCAGTACAAAGGTATTGGGTGGCTGAGTGCTAGGAAGCAGAAGAGGGATGGAGGAACATCAGAACGGATCCTCATTTTGGATGACACCGTTTGGAGACAGGTGGATGGCCTGGTGCCATTGGAATGGGGTACAGGAGACCTGGCTCCACTCTCCATCTCAGTCACAAACTTCCTGTGGGGTTTCAGGGAAGCCGTTTTATTTACCCCACTGATGAGTTTCCTGGAGTACGTGGTACAGTAAAAGCAGAAATAAAATCCATTAGCCATCACTGTGTTTTACATTACAGGAGTGGGACTGCAAATAAGGCTGGCTATCAGCTAATCAGTTTGGTGCTGAAATTTCCCATTGAAACCAATGGGAAACAAGCGCTCTACGTAAGACGTAGGAGCTGACTTACTTGGGTAAAGTGAGATTTTGGATTTCATGCTGGCTTATTTCAGACAGGAATCTATTCAGATGATAAGGAAAATAGGACCAGTGGGTGATCCTGGCGTTCCTTCTTGAACCTCCCATTTCGTCCTCTCTTAGCTACCTGTGGTAGTATTTTCCAAGAAGTGAAGATAACCCTTGAGGCACAGAGCTCTTTCTCAGGTGCTGAAGATAGCACTCTCATTATGTCTTATCAAGCTCTGCAGGTGATTTCACAGACTGCAGACTCTTTAGGACAGGACTTGTTGGAGGGAGGAGACAAGAGTTGGTGTGTTTGTAAAGCAGACCCTTATGATGTGTATTACTAATAAAGCTAAGAATAAACCAAGCTCCAACGTCAACTCAAAATGAACTGGAAGCAGGAAGCTAACAGTGCAGGAGACAGGAATGTAGGGTGCTGTAGAGAGGGTGGGTATTGTGTAATAGTCGTTTACATTTTTTGGTACGCATCGCAGTTTCCTTTGGAACCAGCAGTGAAACCTTGAAACTCTCCAGTGACGTTACAGAGGGCACTCCAAGAAGCAGAGTGCTACAAGTCTTGGTTTTGGTGTGCTGAAATCTGTATGTCGTCCTTGGTTTGCTTACATCTGCCTGATCCCCTGTTTGCAGATTGTGCTGCTTGTTTTCAGAACCCCACTGCATGGGACGCGACCTGGGCTGCTTCACTTAACAAAACCAAATAGTTGGAGCAGTTATTTTGTTGGTTTTTCATGATAAATGCAATGCCAAGTTTTCCATCTTTGCTTTTTCTCATGGCCCTTTAACCCATGTGGTAGGCTTATTTAGGGAATAAGACAGGCCTGGATGCAGTCCCAGAGTTTGCAGTAGCTTCAGATGCCCCTCCAAAGGTTAGGATACTTCACAGGGGATTTGTTCTGCAACAGAGAGGCTAAAAGGAAACCCATGCTAGTTACTTTTTGCTTTTGATTCTGTCCTAGTACTGTACTAAAAAGCAAGCAAGAGAAAATTGACAGAGGCAGCATTGTTGCTGTTGGGTGTGTAATACCACGTTTTCTACCATAGCCTCAAACCAAAATGTCAAAAATCTTCTAAGAAACATTTCACACAAAGTATAATTTTTTTTTTGTTTCTACACCTTTCCAGAAAGAAAAAGCTGTATTATGTGTTCCACATAAAAATGCAATTGTTTTACTTCAGATATGGTTTTGTTTTGCAGTGTGCGCACTGTTTCTGGGGACTTGCAGTAAAATGGATGTTAGAATTAAGTTGTGCATGCTTACACATGACGTTTAATGTATGTGTCTCCCCTGCATTGTGCCCTCGCAATTGCATTGAAAGGAGTTACATTAAACTAATCGCAGCAGGAGTTGGTCTTGTGCATATGAATAGCACAGATTTATATGTATGGAACAGCACTGTAGCGATATCGATGGGAATAGCATAGCCGAGGTTTAATGTTTTGTTTCCTCTTCTAGGATATGATGATGTTTCAGAAACAAACTTGAGATCTTACAGTGTTCATTCTGCTAAACATGTGCAAGAGAATCGTCCTGTGCCCATTCGCAGAAAAAGAAGCATTGGTAAGAAACAAGCTATTTGTACTTGGAGGGTAAAACCAGAGGGGGTGCTTTTTGGTCAGCCAGGCGGGACATTTCACTGGAAAAATGTGTCATGCACAAAGGAAAAAGGCCGTTTATTTCTGCCTTTCTTTTTGCACACAACGAGCCGCTGCCTGAGAAGCTGTCTTCTGGAGGATGTCCATAGGAGACAGACAAGCACAAATTCTTTACATTCACTTTCTTGTTGTAGCATGTTAGAAAGCTAGACCTTGGTTAGAAAATGCTGTGATATTCGATGTATAATTCATAGTGTGGAGAACAACCAGAGCAGTGTGCTTTAAAAAACATCAACAGTTGGTAGAGTTTTCAGTACAGAACCGCCACAAAAGGAAACAGCTTGACTCTTTATTCACAAGAAAAAAAACAGTTTATCCAAAAAATTAAAAGCCATTGATGGAAACGCTGGGGCATTGATTTCCATCACTGCATAGGGCACCAGGCATGTTTACAAAGGGTTTTGCTCCTATTAAACAATAATGATGGTGATCCAACAAAGCTCAAATATAAATTTAGAGAGATGGCTAGAATAGGATTTGTATGCAGTGCTTGTTCATCTGATTAATTCTGAGTGTTTTGCCATTCCATTTGACTATGGAAAACATGATCTTATCTATTATAGGTAATTCAGAGTCAGTGTATTTGTACTTGAAGCTATGGTGGTACGCAGGAGATAGCACAGCATGCTGTCAGCATGGATTTGCAGTGTGAATTGGCAAGCGTGCTCGTCACATTGAATGCCTCTAGAGAACAGCGGTTCTGAAACAGTCTGCTACACTTGGCACCCTACTCTGCAAGGTGTTGAATGCCTCCCCATAAAAGTCGGTGGGAACTGGATATGCTCAATAACTTGGAGGAGTTGCCAGCTATCTTGCAGTATTGGATCCGTTAATTTTCTTGAGTTCATGGCATTGAGAATTTTCATTCTGTTTAGTTGGCTGAAATGGATCTCTTTCAAAACTAAGCCCAGTTTTTCATATTACAGGAACAGGCCAGGCCTGAACTTCTAGTACTTCAGCAGTAACTGAAGAAGTGCAGGCAGTATTCCAGTTCCTTGACACATCTAACCCAATGCTATCACTGCTTCCACTGTAAGGCAAGGAAAAAAATCCAATCTGTCTTCAGAGAATGTGCCATCAAACAAGTTGTCCCAGCAATAGCTATTATTTTCTGGATTGTTTGGAATTACCAGCTTGATTTCTTAGGCAGTCCCTAGGCTGAGAAAGATACATGGTTTGTATTTTTTGTGGCAGCATCATGTAGCAGTACAGAGCTACTCTTTATGATCCTTACAGCAACTGTTGCCTATAAGGTCACCTTACCTGAGCCCAGCAGAATATTGGTATAGCTGCTGGGTTTTCGGTCATGCTTCTCTTGTTTGCCTCTTTCAAGAAATAACAAATTAAGTAAAGCCCACCGTGTACAAAGCTTTGATAACTTCATTCAGAAACAATGGCATTTGCCCTTTGGGATGGCAGATGGACCAGACTGCCTACTGTGGGGATGTTAAGGTCTTGGAAATGGAAACCTAAGACTTGAAAGTTCCAAGCTTCTGTGGGTTGTTTCCCAGCTCAGCCAATTTGTGTGTGGTGTAACCGCTCTCAACACAATTTCTGTGATGGTGTTTGCCAGGTATCGCATGTTAGTGTGGTGGTATATGTGTGCAGTGATGGCCCCAGTGTCATAAAATAACAGCTGCTGTTACGCAGTTGCTATAAGGCTGTATTAGAGGATCACCTGATCTGGACAAGCCCCTGGCTTGATGTCACTTCTAAAGAGCCAGGATTGTCTTATCTAATGGTATGAACTCTGAGCTATGTTGGAAGCCAGGCCATTGTAAACCCTCATTTTAGGGCTTGGATTTTGGGAGTGAGTCAAGCTTCTCCCTAGGATAGCACACACAGTTTAGTGGTAGCCAGATAGTACTCAGCACTGATTTGTCAGCAAGCAATGGGAACTGAGAGCACCATCTCAACCCACCAGCTAAGGGTGCCACTCGTAAATGTAAAGTATCTGGGTGCTCGGAGGTGCGAGCAGATGCTCACCTGGAAGTGTGAATTTCTTGTGTTCGCAGAGGAAGCTATCCCAGCTGTCTGCAAAACACGGACGGTTATATACGAGATACCTCGGAGTCAGATTGATCCCACCTCTGCCAACTTCCTGATATGGCCACCCTGCGTGGAAGTGAAACGTTGCACTGGCTGCTGCAACACCAGCAGCGTGAAATGCCAGCCCTCGCGGATACATCACAGAAGTGTCAAGGTGAGCAGATTGTGGCTGCAGAGCCCCAGGAAGGTCCTCTTTAAGTCTAAAACCTCCAGGTATCTTTGTGGCTGTTCTGTATGACCTGGATCTGTATTACCCACCCTCATAGCTGCAGGATCAGATCCAACGCTCCTCTCCATTTTGAGTGCACAGATGGCTTTTTCAAGTTACATGGTCACTGGAATATCTTGGGTTTGGATTTGATTTTCACATGATTCCCTTTAGATTTTGCTTCTCCTGTAATGAAAATAAAGCTGATTGTGTCTTTCCCATGATCTTGCACAGTACAAATCTTAAAAGTTAAGATGATAAAATGACTCAAGGGGCATTGGACTTAAAAAAATAAATAAATCACAGTATGGAATGCTGTTTTCTTAATTAAATATTATGCAGCCTAAATTGGGCTTTTATATTTGACAACATAACACTTTTGATCTGAAAAAATGTGTTTCAAATTATCTTACCCCAGGGATAGAAGACTGAACGGCTTCATGCTGTATTTATTCATTAGACAAAATCCCTGTTGCAATTTTCCAGTAAATACTACGTGAAGTATTTCTTATGTTCATTCGGCTTCAATGTGTTCTAATTTTTATCAGTATTTAAACAAGTAATGTTGATCTACATCTGCGTGCAGGAGATTAGGCTTGCACTCACCATTTATATTGTTAAGACTCTTGAGTTCTTGTTGCCCTGAGTATTTTAAGAGCAGAATTAAAAAACCCCACATTCTTGATCATAGAATTGCCCAACAACACAGAGCGTTGTGCTTGCGATGGATTTCTTACTGAGAAAGGTGCTGTTACTATACATCCTAAACAGAAAAGGCATCTAAGCTGTTTCACTGTTTTTCACAGTGAAACACAGGCACACATCTGAGCAGGGTTTTTTTCTCATTTCTGTTTCTGAACATCTGAAAAATGTTTTCACACCTAAATAAGCTGGAGAAACATTGAACCGATCCCCTCAGTCTTTTCCACTTGCTGCCCTTTGTGGGGTATGCTTTGCAGAAACAGTTAAAAATTAGGAAAAAAATTGGGATGAATAATTATTCAATAGTTGACAACAAACTTGGGAAGTCGAAGCACCACAATAGTAAGGCATTCAGAACAGGAGCTAAACAGCAAAGTGCTTCAGGTTATAATATACAGTGCTGTTGCCTTTGAGTTTGGTACAGCTTCCAGTTAATTTTGTGTAGCAACCACTATGTACAAAGCAGCTGAAGATGCCCAGCAAAGAGCTGAGCCCTGTATTGTGAACTTGCTGTTGATACCTGTGTGTGTGACACTGCAGCCGTGTGCTTGTTTCCTACCCCTGGAGTGATGGGAAAGATTATGGGCTGAGCGGTTTGGCTGTTGGAATCCCCTGCTGTTGGGGACACTGAGGATTCCCTAGAAGGTGCAGACTCCCCAGCTGCAGCAGCTTTGCTGGGGCTGTTTCCCAGCACAATGCCACAATAAGGAAATCTTAGTTTCTCATTCCATCTGCTGATACAGTTTTAGTGCTTTTAGATATGCATTCATTTTAGTAGGGTGCAAGCTCAGAGCAGGCGCAGCTGAGCAGCTGCTTTTTGTGGCTGTGTAAATATATTGCCACCAGCAATATCAATATACGTCAGCCAGCTTCGGAGGACTCTTTTTGTTGTTTTCCAAGCTCCAAGACTGCTCCGAACAGTCATTAAATAGAAGGGGAAAAAAAAGGACAAGAGGTCAAGCAGGAACAGGATGTTCATTGTAAAGGTTGTAGGCTGACCCCACTGTCACACCAGCAATCTCTGAACAGAATCCATATTTATGCCCTCCAGAGTCAGATCGTCTTGTAGCTTTGATATAATTGATGGGTTTATGAGCCTTTTGCCAATCCTGTGTTCAGAGCTGAATGTCTGCTCATGCCATTAAGTAGCTGGCCCAGAGTGAGGGTCACTGGAAAGGTAGGGGGGAGCAGTTTTGGAGAGCCTTCTCAGCTATGCCTGCAGTGCAGTTGGAAAGCCGTCTTGTGTTTTCCCCTGATGTCAGACTGCATAAAAGCCCTCTTTTGATTGAATGTTGAAAAGGCTTTCCCCACTTCCCCTTCATTGACAAGGTAGTGAGATCATAGCTGGCCCATTCACACTAGAAAAATGTTCATCCAGAAAGGTCAGCAAGTGGGTTTGCATCACCCAACTGGCAAAAGCAAAGGGTGTTTTCTTTGTCTTACTGAGGGCCACTGTAGTCAAGGTTAAGAGATGGCAGTATGGGAGGAGTAGCAGAGGTGCAAGTATTGGGGCATTCTCTTCCTGTGACACGATTCAAAGTCTGTAGGGTTCAAGGATGTCCTTACTTTGCCTTCAGGTAGCTTTAGTCAGTGAAGTACCATTAATGGGCTTCTGGAATTAGATCTGTATGGTGGCTCTAAGCCAGGGGTGTTGGTGGAACAGCATCCCTGGAATGAGTCCTTTAAGGTTTCCCTTTCATGGGGTGGGTTAGTAAAAGGTAGGTTTGCACTGCACAGTACCAGAATGAGCCCATGAGAGCACAGGCTCCTGGTCCTAAAGGCTTCTCTGTTCATCAGGCTGTACCTACACCACACTGCAAAAATCAGAAGGAAATGGAAAGGCTGGCTGGGAGTTGCTCTTTGATAGGAAGGGAAGTACTGCATTTCTCTTCTGATAGAGTAGTGGTGACAAGGACTGGTGAATTAGGGGTGTTGCTGTCTGGTACAGAGATGATATTTCTTCCCTGTCTGCAAAAGCATTTCAGTAACTTCTGCAGATTCTGTTGCTTCTGCACAGTGAGATCAAGTGTTTACCGAGTACCAGACCACAGTTTACTTGGGTGGGTTCTGAACCGAGTCTTCCCAAGAGGTTTCTCATAATGTTGAGCATGATGCTCTTGATGTTTCTGGTCACAGCAGCAAAAACCAGTTAATATTATACAGCAAATCCTGCCTATCCTGCTGATTTTGAATAGCCAAGCTGAATATTGTGGTTGTTGCAGCAATGCTCGTTTCCAAGCTAAGAAACAAGAACTGAGTCACTCCATCTACCTCAACTTTGCCTTCTGCTTGGCCTTTAGCCATAGCCATACCAGCTTTATCCATTTCTGAATAGTCAGTGTTGAGCTGCTTTGGGGGTATTTAACGTGGTGTATTCTTGCAGTAAATCAATATGAGGCAAAGACTCAGAGCAAAGGAGCTGTAAAGGAGGGAATGCAGGAGCAGCTCCTCAGCTGTCACCTGGGAGTTGTTCGGAGAGGTTCCAAAGAGAGATGGAAAACTGCTGAAATTAGAGATGAGTTGTTCAGCAGGGCTGCCCAGTCTCTGGAGAGGTTAAAAAAGCCTTGCAGAACAGATTGTAGGTAAAACGGCTGTATGTAAGCAGGTATTTCTTCAGTGACTGGTTCTGCCATTAGGAAAAACAGCACTCAACAGGACATTACTGCCAGTTGGTGGGACCTGCTGACAGGTATCAGAGGTCAGCTTAAGAATGGGAGAAACAAGGGAAACCCTGACAAGACGGAAAAGCAGAGAGGTGCCCTCAGAGTGTGAGAGGTACTCTGTCATTGCAGGTCTAGCTGCTCCTGCTCAAGGAGAGAGTATAGAGACCCCACACCAGCCATTCCCCCACTATGGAGAGCAGTGATGAGCCCCCTGACCCTTCCTCAGGCTGAGCCCTGGCTGAGGCACTGCCACATTCCCCATGAGGTGGCTCCTGGTATGGGGGAGCTGTGATGGGGCTTCTCCCTGCCCCTGGTGCAGGCAGAGCCATGGCTTGTTGCTGGGCTGTGTGAGGTGCTGATGGGAAAGAGCACCCCTGCAGGGGAAGATCTCCCTACCCCACCCTAACAATCTGTGCATGAGGCTTTCCTGATGTAGGGGTTTTGCCAAAGGAGTGCCCTGTAAATGTTTTTAATGGGTATATTAGGATGGGTGGCTGCCAGGCTCAGTGGCGGGTGGACTCCCCTGCTTCCCAGGCATGCACAGCTGGTGAGGAGTGTCCTGGAAGGCCCGGCGCCAGTCCTGTGTCTCCTGCCTGCAGCCGTGCCTCCGGTGGCTTGCCAGGTCTCACAGGATCCCTTATCCCTGCTTAGTCCTTCTGGTGCCTTTAAGCCCTGTTGACTTATGTCTTACTCACAAATCTAAGGGCTGTAAAGATCGCAGTTGCAAGGTGAAAGGTTTTTCCTTCCATTGTGTCAGCATGGGTTTTATCTTAATACAGAAGAAATAGATGTTTCCAAAAAGGACCATTATTCAGTTGCTTTTTGATTTGATTTCCCATCCTGTATTTAGCTATCAGCCACGAGTTTTGCCGTTATGAGGAATCTTCTGTGCTGAGACTTCTCTTGCAAGTTCCTGCCCATGATAAATTCTGGCTTTGTGCTAGAGGTGTTTTGGTCATTTTTCCTTACCGTCTTGTTTTTTTCCTGCTGCTACTCCCTGATTTCATCTCTCCTGGAGAAGATCTAGAAGAGGTGTTCCCATAATGCTTCCCATTAGGCTATTGGATTTTATTCTCACTTTCACTTAGCCACCACACCATACCGCACGATAATACTTAGAGTCGACAGTGATGCAAGTATGATGCCACTGATTGTACACCATTTAACTAAACTAGTTGGTTATTTCACTGTCTTTCTCCTTGAGAGTTTTCATATAGTGATATTTTTGGGGTTGGGAGGATTTGAGGATTTTTAGTTCTGTTGCATTAGAGACAAATGAAAGAAGCTGATCTTGGTTTGTTGAGGACTGACCATCGCAGACCGTCGACCATGCACATGAGAGCAACGGGGCAAAATAAACACCAGGATGGAAAATACAAAGAAAAAAGATGCTAGCGTAGGGCCAAATCCCGTGTTGCTAGTATAGATACCCCTGTTTATACCCACTGAAAATCCGACCTGCAACCTTCATCACTTCAGATTATCATCCTGTGTGGCAGCAGGTGTTAATAGATGACCCAAGCCCAGCAACTTACCTCATTTGTGCTGCTTCATTTTGAGTATTTTCAGCATCTTGCAGAATGACATTTCTTTAACTTGTGTAGCATGAAGTAGGGCAGTGGAAAGTATGCAGAATTTTTAGCTACATTACAGTAAACCCCGCTTTTTAAACTGGTACCTAAATACATTATGATCATATTCTTCAAAGTATGTATGTATTTTTTTTAAACTGTTGTTTAATACCAGATTGCCACAGTTTGGAAAACCAAGCAAAACCAGGACAGACTTTTAGAAAGCTTGATTACAGTTTATTTTTGTTGCATATAATTTTCAGTAAGACTGGTTTATTCTAACAGCTGTAATAAGCAGAGCAGATCTGAAAGCTGTTTCATGACTGCTGGGTCTCTTTCTTTGTCTCTGATGATGGAGGTGTCTTAATTACTGTTTGTTTTTGTAAATTTTAAGGATGAGTCATCCTTTGATGCCAGATGACTCAGTTGTAAAATACGTTTTCAAATCTTTACGTTCAAAGGCTCGATGGAATTGAGTTGTGATCGGAGATTTTGAAACATACTGCTCAAACCCATAGCTAGTCTTTCAGCAAAAGCATTCTGGTGTGTCGCGGCCAGCTTTTAATCTGGTTATATGGAGATCTGACAGTTTTGGAAGGTACTTTTTACCGTGGACACTTCAGTTATTGCATCTGTCTCTGCAACTTTTGTTTGCTGGGTAAATGAAAATTGTCTCCAGATCCTATTGACACAAGAGGTGGTGACTAAGATGTGGATCTGAACTCCTTGCTCTGTGGAAGCAATGGCAGATCTCCCATTGACTTTAATAAGTCCAGGCTTTTTTCTCTAGCTTCTGTTACTGTCATTCAGCGGCCCTTGGTAGTTCGTATTCACAGAGCCAGAAGTGTTCTGGGAACTGGGAATGTGATAGTTTTTCCAGCCACCGCTCTCATTTTGTGACTCTGTTATTCCAGTTTTGGGAGGGCCAGGGAATAATTTTCATAGTATGAAGACTGATTTGGAGCATGAAATCCCCACCAGAGAAACACCATTACCAGGAGAGTCTGGTGTAATTGTGGATACTTTATTTGTTAGTAACTGGAGCTTTTTGGTTGGATCAGACTTTATGTCTTTGTCATGTAGCTGTTGTAGAGACAACCATCCTTTCTTGTCCTTCTCTTTTGCTGTCTTATCTTATTCATAGTGCATACCTATACTATGCAGTCGTCTTGCTCCCTGGGACAGCTACAGTGCAGCCCCCTTTTAGAACTGAGATGCCATGATTTCATTTTGGTGATTTCCATTTCAAGCAGTATTCATGCAGTGTTTAACACAATTGTAAACTAAACATTGGACCCCTTACATACTGTTTCACACTCTCTTTGCCCCATCTTATGCCCTATTCCCTTGTATGGCCATGATCATCATACCTGTTACACTTAGCAAAAGTCAGTGCCCAGCATCTCACAACCCGTTCCAGCACCCCAGCACAGCAGTGTTCCTGCCCCCTGTGCTGTTCTTCTTCTCCTGTCTTCTGACACCAGGTTGGTTAGGATGTTCCATATCTCCCCATCCCAATGTCCTTCTCTTTTGCACTGGTTCCTTTCAGGTGAGAGACCTGCATGTAGACAGAACTTCTCCAGCATGCTCTTTCCTTCAACCTCCCCTTGCCCTCCAGACCATTTTTTCTTAAGACTGCCAGTTTTTCGGCCCAAAGTGGAGCAGTGCAGCTGGAAGCAATTGGATGTACTGGAGAGAAATAGCATACCGGCCAGCTATCCGCAATAAAACCGAAGGTTGGATCCGGTTTGCAAGTGGTAGCTCCCTTGAACCTAAAAACAGTGCATGTGAGCTCTTGTAACCTAGTCCCAGGTCATTGCAGGGAGTAAGATTGAGACTGCTGCTTTCTGAGCTGATTCAGATCGTGGTTCTGCAGAGATGAGCACTTTATTTTCAAGGGCCTCTGGAGACATCAATTTGTAAACTGTAAAATGCATTACAAACTAACCTAATGACTTCACTGTAAGCCTTCAGTGGTCAACGTGTACCGAAGATCATGCCAAAACGGGATGGTCTGCAAGAGCAACCACTGATTTGAATCTATATAGAAGTTTTATTGTGATACATGTTAAAACTGACTTGCTTCAAACTTCAAACTAAAATGACTGGGAAATTGGTTTATCTCTTGGGGGAAAAGAAAATTGTTTCAAACTGCTGAACCTGAATAAACAAATAGTCTGTGCAATAAATAGTTACACGATGCACAATTAAGATAAAAGATGATTAGTATGCTAACATGTTATATGAGTTTGGCTGCATTAAAAAATAGAGGTATATTGTTATCTGTCTTCAGTTCTGAACTATAACTATGTTAATGTGTCTCAGTACGTACCTCATCGTATTTTATAGGTGGCAAAAGTGGAATATGTTAGAAAAAAGCCAAAATTAAAAGAAGTTCTGGTGAGATTAGAAGAGCATATGGAATGCACCTGTACATCATCAAATACTAATTCAGATTATAGAGAAGAAGAAACTGGTATGTTTTCCTTTTATTTTTGCATTAATGCTGATTTCATATGGTGCTTATTTTTATATTAGTAAAGAATGTAAAGCAAACTTTGCTTCCAGTGAACACAGTAGAGAGGCTCCCAGCTGCTACTCAGTGTGTTGAAGATGCAAAATTAGGGACAGTTTGTGCTGTACGAAGAGGTTGGATTTGAAGTGTAAAGCATATCACTTCTCATTAGGCTAGCTTTTAAATATATGTAAATGCCCAATGGTATTCAGGTCTTGTTTAACTAAGTTAAAGTTTGTCATGTTGCAGTTACTGGTGAACTCTGTTGCCTAATTTCTTTAGGCATTGTGGAGACAGGGCTAAGGCTGAGATTTACTGTACATTGGGGAAAATATTAATGAAATGAATGTAAAGGGCTTAGGAATACGTTCAGTATTCAAGAGTAAGGAGTTTTGAAACAACACTGCCCATTCCTGTTGTTTTCTTACTAACATAGTCAAGAATCTATTGTCACTTGTCAAGTTAAACCTAAGTTTGCTGTGCCAAGACAACATTTAAGTTGCCATGGGGAAAGATTTATGGGGAGAAAGATTTACTTTCAATCTCTCATAAAACCACCTAAAACTCAGATCCTTTTACTAAGGTGTAATCAGCGCAGAATTTGACACATATGCAGGAAGCCCACTGCAGTAGAAAGGGCACCTCCCTTTCTCCTGATTTAGGTTGAAGGCAGCCTCAAAAGCTCGTTTTGCCACCTCTGCTGGGAATTTAAGGGTTCAGTAGACCCAGCTCAAAATTAGTCAGTGAAAAGCAGGTAAATTTAGGAGGAAAGCTACCTAAAGGTGTCTAGGTAAGGAAGGGTTTTCTGTCCGTCTCCATCCAGCATGGAGATATAAATCTGATCTAAGCAAATGTTAACTTCAGTTGCTGTGTACAGAGAAGAAGAACTAGAATTTGTAGAAGAGCAAAGTTAGGCCTCTGCTGTGATTTCATTGAATATCAATTTATAACCTGAGCTGAGTGTTTTAGCTGAAACTAGGTTGAGTTATGAGTAGACAACCCCCCCGTTTTAAATGGTTTTTATGTGTGTATGGGTTGATATTTTTTCTGTGCCTTCCATTTGGAAAAAAGTTTCATTGGATCAATTTCAGTTTTCCAAAATGTCTTTAATTGCCAAAGACTAAGCAGTTAAGATTCTAAAATGAAAACTTTTCTTTTTGATGTATGTGAAAAATGGGGTAGAATTGCCATGGAGGAATATATATTTCTAGGATTTAATTACTGATAGGAACAAAACTTGCACCAGCAAGTGGATGGTGAGCTGAAAATAGCTTAACTACAGAGCTGAAAGCAAATGTTGAATACTGCATGGTAACAGTAATTATAGATGGATCTTGGAAATGACGTATGCAATGCCAGCTTCGTTTATTATTTCTTTACTTTTGTATAATTACTTTGTAAACGGAATGTCAAATCAGGCGTTATAAAGTTATTACTTTAATGCAAAGAATAATGAGATTTCTTTGAAATGTAAACGGTTTGAGTATTACTTCAGTGTTCAACGAAATGCATTACCTTAGGGCTTTTTACCAGCCCTGCCCTTATGTTAACAGGAAGGCCTAGGGAATCAGGTAAAAAACGGAAACGAAAAAAGTTAAATCCAACATAAAACCTACTGGAACTATTTGATATTCAGGTAGGACCTATATGCTGAACACCCTAATAGCACAAGTACTGGAAAACTTAATCAAATATCATCACTTCAGATTAATCACTGTTCAGAATCTTGACACTTGCTACCTCAAGGCTGCAAAGAGATTAGATTTGATTGGCTTTGATGATTCTACCTGCTGGTATTTTCCCTTTAAGCTCCACATCACCATCAGCATCTTACATTCTTCAGCTACTTCCTTTTCTTGCCTTTTTTGTTCTTTTTTTTTGGAGGGTGCTAATTCCTCAGCTTCTGAAATCTCAAGTTCCATTGCCTCTGCTTTTGTTTCATTATTATTGATTTCTGAGGTCAAAGCATCACATAATAATGCATGAATGAATTTCCAGGTTACAGATTGCTGTGTTTCCAGTCATTGGCTGTAAAAGATTGCGTGTACATACAGCAAACGCTATTTTATGCATGACCATCAAACCCATGTTTTGGCATGAACTGGGATTGATTGTACATGCACCTCAAACGGTCTGATGATCTGCCTATCTGACAAGGAAGATGCTTAGAAATGCCATTTTTTTTTCTTGTGTTGTAGAACCCTGTGTTACTTACACCAGAAAATTAAGATCTTTTTTTCTTTGGTCTGTTCAGTCTCAGTACGATGATGACAGTCAGTCATCAAAATTCATGAGGTTTTCAGCGTAGTGAAAAGCTAAAACCCTCTCAATGCAAAATTGACTGAAATCCTTTGGCCAGCATATAGCAATGTATGATTATGGCAATACACATTCCAAATTAAATATGTAATTTCCATTTCTTAATGACTTGAAATTACATAAACTGCAGCACTTGCAATTTATTCTAGTATTTGGAGTGGGAATGATTTGGATTTTGCGGTGTATGTGCCTAACGCCTGGATGATGGTGAATTTAATTTCAAGCATCTATTTTTGCACATAAACTCCCAATGGCGAGTTTTCGTTTATACTCACGTATCGTTTCTAAAGAATGCTAAACTTGATATCCTGTTTCAGATTAACAGGTATTTATTTGGAGTAGTATGATAGAAGCAAAGATTTTCTAAAATTCAACTTTAAAAGTGAGCATGTAAACTCAATCAAAACAGCATTTAGAACTTCTTGTCCCAGGTTAGTGACTCTTCATGCAGAACAGTTTTTTTAAAGTCATCTACTTAGAGGATAGGACCTTTGATTCTAATCATAGAGTTATTGTATCTTTTTTCTCTCCTGCAGATGTAAGGTGAAAATAAGCTAGGAAAAAAACTTCTCTCTGGGACATGGATGTACATGGTTTGTTACATTCCTGAACCTACTATGTATGGTGCTTATTGACTGTATACTTTATTTGTTCTCCTGTGTGAAAAAACTGGCTCAAAAGAACACTTAATGAGAACAAAGAGACAATGTACATTTGTTTAATGTGACATCAAAGCAAGTATTGTAGCACTCTGTGAAACAATAGGAAGCTTCCCTGTCCAAAAAAGAAAAACAAAAAAAAAAAAAAGAAAAACAGAAAAGAAAAAGAGACAGTTGAATGAATGGAGGATACCAAAAGTACTCAAAAACATGACAAAAATCTAAGTGAATAGTGGATTTCTGTCAGAGCAGTCAACGGTGCTTTACGTCAAGAAATGTGCCTGCGTTCTTGATGAAGATGGATGGACACTGGTGGACTTCAGGCACAAAAAAAGCAGGAATGTATGAAATGATCAAATGCCACGCAAACACTATAGAACAATACATCCTTGCTTGGTGGTGTTTTAAAAGTCTATACAGAGAAAAACCTTCTGGGGAGCCTTAAGTGGATTTTTTTTTTTTTTTTTTTTTACACCATAAAGTGATTATTAAGTTTTCTTTTTACTCTTTGCCTAGCTTTTTATTATCTCTTGGACTACATTTGCCAATAACACATATAAAAGACTGGTATAACAATAAGCAGAACACAAAACATTATGGTATTTCTCCTAGTGGGATGCAAACTAATGAGATGTATTAAAATAAAAATGGTATACCTATGCATAATTTTCTAGGCGTTTCTTGGTTTATGTTCCCCAACCTCCCCCGTAATTTAAAGCATTACATAAAAAGAAAAAAAAAGAGAAAAAAGAGAGATGTGCGTAAACAAATCATAGGATATCCATGCAAAAATCCTTTTTTTTCTTTTTTTTCTTTTAAGACTTATGCCAGTTGCCTACTAGTGATATTGTGTTAGCAATTGTCATTCTTATCAGTATACAGATACTTTTATTTCACATGTTGGAGCTGTGTGAAATGTACAAATTCTTGTATCTGCATTGTATAATGTCATGGTGGCATGGGAACTACCTTGCTGCAAATATTTGAACAAAACCTAAAATTCTTTATTTTTGGTAATAATGTTATGCTTTATGTGTATTCAACAGAAATATGTGTTTTTGTAAAGGTGAAGTTTGTATTTTTATCTAAAAATTAACAGTTTTATATACCTGAGAAAGCCTGCTATGTTTTCTTGAACCAAAAAAAAAAAAAAGAAAAAAAGAAAAAAAAAAGCATTTTGTGGTCATATTTTTGTAGTAGAATAGCCCAAATTATAACATCAAAATCTATTTTAACTATAGCAGGGCAGATAAAATACTCTGGCACCAGCTCCTATGTTTTCAAAGTGCCAAAGGATTAAATGTTCAGTTCCCCATGGATTGCAGTGGGAGCCACATGGCTGAATCCTTCTGTACTGCTTTGGAAATGTAGGGCTGTGCCAGGTATGACATGGCTACTCACTTGGCCAAAATCACTGCCCCAGCCCAGCAGTTTGGATTATGTACCCTTTGTTTTATTTAGACTATCACATTGGGTATGTAAAATGAACTACTGGATTCTTCTTATTTGTGAAACATCTACAAAGAGATGAAAGAGTTTTCTTAGTTTGGAACGACAAAAAAGTTTGTCTCAAAGACTGTTTCCACTCTAATGAAAAATATCTTCAAACATGAATGAACTGCAGAACCTTAAAAAACAAGAGAGATTTTTAACCTTTCATTTTCTTTAAATAGAGTTCAAACATTCCCCTCCTCTTCCCGTAGCTATGTCCAATTTCAACCAAACAAAGCAGCGTTGGCTAACGAGTCATTGGCTTCAGATGCTAATGCAGAGATAGATTTAGTCACCATTCTATTTTGTGATCATTTTCCCAGTGTATTTGTTGAGCACCAAAACTGGAAGTACATTTAACTAAGATTGTCTGTGCTTGTTTTCCACTAAGTGTACTGTTCACAATGTTATGCACATGAATGTATGTGTCTGCGTTTAAAAAAAAGTGTATAAAATGTAATTTATATATTTATGTTTCAGTGGGATGCCAATAATGTTGCTCCGTTCCTTTTTTGTCTAAAAGATATCTAATGAAAAAAAAAAAACATATATCCATTAAAATCATGTAGATGAAAGGCATTATGTGACCCACTCAGACACTGTGCAGGTATGAAAGGATGTCAGAAGTCACTTCAGTGGAATAATTTGCAAAGCAACTTCTTGAGAGTCCTGTGGTTGCGCTGGCATAAGAAGGTTACGTTCAGATCTGCGAGCCAGCTTCCCTGGAGTAACTCCGTTGAGTATAATGGAGCTCTCCTGATGTACATCACGAGTGAGTCTGGCCCCACAGTAAAGTCTTGGAAAAAAAGCCAGCTGAGAGGCATGCATTTTGTTGGTGCCAGCAAATAAATGCGTTATGCCAAATTCAGAAAACCAGAAGAGAGTGAAGACTGAATGGAGTCTTTTCTAGTAGTCATTTATTTGAGACTTGTAGTCTCAAGTTGATTTTGTTACCAGGAACAAAATGCACATGAGTCTTTGTTCTCAAGCACAGTGTTTATACGGTGTGCAGCAGTAACCAAAAATCTCAGGGCTATGTTCTCAGCTAGTATAAATTGGCAAATATTTTTGACTTCAGCCGCCCCTAAGCTAATTTACATCAGATGAGGATCCAGTCCATGGTTTTTAAAATATGAGGAGTAGTGTCATGACGTGAGCATCACTTACTATAGCCCAGCTGGGATATAACCTGCCAGCCTTTCAAACGTTACAGGCTATGGTATCAGTCCTTCTTCTTCAAAGTGGCAGATACAACCAGAAGGAAGAGTCATGTTAAAGATTGTGACACAGGAGACATTAATTCAAAGTTAAGTTGGACATTTCAAGGGCCATATCCTCAGCTGGTGTAAATCACCATCACTCCATTTCCTGCAATGGAGCTGTACCAGCTTACACCACTTGAGGGGCTGGTCCCTCATTCTTGCTCATCCCTTTTCGCTGCTTGGTCCTGCAGGGATCTCAGATTGTTGTGTACGGTTAATGTAATCCTGTGTTCTCTAATACTTAAGCACAATAAGTGAATATAAGAATGAGTGTCAGACTTAACTTTGAATGTCCAAGCTTTGAAATGGTTTGTTTCACCATTGTGGCTGTAAATTAAACAGTTCTCTGTGCATTTGTGAATGCTGTGTCATATCTTCTTCCGCTGTGTATTGGAGGGAGACTCCATATGGACTTCTAAAGTGCTGTATTTGGAGTGTTACAGGGAAGGGGGTGAACAATTGGAGCTTCCAGATAGATACCTGATTGAGCGCTCTGTGATTTTGGGATGGGGGACTAGCAGGGGGCTTAATGAAGGAGCTGAAGATGGTAGTTGTTGTAGGTCACATTTCCATGCAGTCCTTTTAACACCTTGTCGCTTTTGTCCTTGCACGTACTAGGGAGAGATTTGGGAATAAAACATTTCTGTTTCACATTCTGCAGTCACTTCCTCTGCCCAGAGATTCAGAAGTTGTTGGTCTCATTTAATCTTTTTTGAAGTATTTTCTGGTCAGAAAGTGTATGTGTAGAGGACTGCCCGAAAACAATCTTGGTGTTATGGTGCATGGTCACTGATTCTCTAGTTGATCCATTACACCTAATGCTGTGCTTCATCTTTCCAGAGCCCTTCAGTTGCTTTTGTTGAGTGAAATCTAGGATTACGTGCCAATTTGCTTTCCTTTTCTCCTGTCCTCCATCCTGCTTGGCATCTGCTTTATTAGACAGTGCTCCGTGACTACAGGCAGTTGCTCTTCTCCAGCCCTGGAGGTTCCTAGGCAGCTCCAGCACTTCTGTGTCTTTGAGCTTAGGCTTTTTACTCTGCTTGGAACAGCATCTTATGGGTCTCCTCCCTCCAATGGGCTTCGGCATTACGGCTATGAGGTTCTCTTGACTGTCCTCCTCGGGTCCATGTTGCCTTTCTGTGGTCTGCTTTCTAGCAATTCTCTGCCTGACTTCCCCATCCCTCTGTTTCTGTTGCTCAAAAATGATTTTCCCTTCCTAGGATCTGTCTCATCGTGTATCTCTTCTCTCCTGCCTGACAGAACAGCCTTTGATCTGTTTATCTCCAAATCAATTGCTTTATCTAGGCATGTCCCCTGAGATCCTGTCTCCCAGACCTACAGGCCCATAACTGCCCCTCACATGAAAGACAAATGCTGTTATTTAGACACATGTTTGTGGAGACAAAACGATTCACCTTTACATTTGGAAAAAGACTTATTACTGGAGGCTCCTTCCTAAAGCTCTGTCTAATTCCAGCTACAGTGTAACTCTGAAATACTAGCATTGAAGCTATTCCAGACATCTGACAGGGCAATTAAGACCAGTGGACCGATTTACAGTTTGAAAGTGTACCCAAAACCAAAGATGAAGTTTCAAAGCTGCCTCAGATTTGCATGCTCATATTTTACTGTAAATTGAAGGAAATTGTGTATGTAGGCCCCTTCCATGGCTTTGAAAACCTTACTCTGAATATTTATCTGACCCTCTATTGGGCTGGAGATCATGGCTGCTTAAAAACACAAACAACGTGGAGGTTTTCAATGAAGTATTTTTCTTGGTGTTTCTAATACACAGCTTCTAGTGCTAGCTGAGAAAAAAGAGTCAAGTAAGAATCATTTAAACCCATAAGAATCCCACTTAAGTTTGCTTGAATTTCAGGTATCGGAGAAAAGCCTGTCAGTGTTACATTCCTCAGAAATCACCTTATGTTTTGTATTTATGATTCCATTTAATTACTGTGTGTTTCCCGGCATTTTAATAGCAAGGTATTATTCCGTGTCTGAGCTTTTCTGTGCTGCTCTTGCTGTAGCATCTCTGCGGCACAGCCTTGAACTGGTTTGTACTCATATCTCCTCTGAAATAAAGAACTATTGTTATCCCATTTTAGGCGAGACCGAGGCATGGAGAAATGACTGTGCAAGGTCACACAGCAAGGCTATGGCAGAACCAGGGATAGGACTCAGATCTGAGTGCTCATCCAGTGCCCTAAATCACACGACCATCTTCCCTTTCCAAGAATGAATCCTTGCACCCTTAGAGCTAAATACTGAAAAGATTGAGGGTAAGTCATTTTGCCTAATTATTGTGCATTGGATACATGGTAAAAACCACTGCCGTTTCATCAGAGAATGTAGTGACTGATGAAAATCCAGCTTTCTGCCCGTGCAGTTACGCAGCCTTTTATGCTATCACAAGCTAGTCATTTCCTGCATCTCTAAGGAGTCAACCTTTTGTGACTTACAGTGAAAATTATGCACTTAGAACAAATCAAGACTCAGATTTTATGGGAATTTACAAAAATTCAGCAGGCAATTTTCACTGCACTTCCCTTTAGTTGAGTGTCATTCATTCCTTTTATGGTACGGGTAACATTTCCTAAGGGAACTGTTTTTATCATAGGCCCAATCCTGTTTTTTTTTCCCAGGCCCTAACGTGGAAAAGCACTTTAAGAGGTGCCTGTGTTTGCCCTTCTTCAAACTGGTGCCTAAACATGCTTGTAACTTCGGACAAACATCCCATTGACCTCAGGCAAATGGAGCAGAGTTGATGCATTAGGGTGTGCCTTCCTGCCACAGGATTCCAGTTGTGAGATGGGGTCTTCATGCTCTTAGAATGATGAAGTACTTTGTAAGCAACCCTAGAGATGAAGCAACAAGACTAGAATATACAACTAGAAAAACGGCTGGGAGAATTCTACCCTCTTCTCCTTCTGTGGAGGTTGCCATTTTGAAATATGTATTTATTCTTTTTTGGGAAAGTACTTCTTTGGTGTGGGTGGATTCAGGACTGCGATTGCTAATGCCAGTGAGCCCACTTAAGATTATCTGTTTGGGTACCTCAGAGAATATAATTTGAAACTCTGCAAGTCATGCCCATAACAGACAAATTTGAGATGGTGAAAAAATAATTAGAGCAAATTTCACGTGAAATTTGGCAACTTTTGGTGTAGGGGAAAAAAAAAAAGGAGAGTGAATTACGAGAAAAAATTAACAGGTTCAAAAGCTTGGTCATTCCTTTTATAGTGGTGGAATGTTACCCATAGTCATTCTAACTATCTGCTGCATCAGGCTAAATTATGTGCTGAAGTAGCTGAGAATCACTACAACATGTAAAAAGTTATGGCTGGTTCCCAGTGAACTGCTACCTATTATCATGGCATATGACTGTGAGGTGGGGCCTGCAATCAGAGTTGTAAATCAAAGAACAAGTCATAGGTTAGGTACTGTTTTCCTTAGATATTGTCACTAAGTTTGTTTTCTTTATGGTAGTCTCATGAGTGACGTTTGGCGAGCTTTTCAGTTAGGTGTCAAGTCAAGAATAGATAGGTCCCAACCTGAAACTAAAGACGTGCCAACTCTTTGCCTTGTTCATGATCAATAGGTTAAAATCTGGTAACATCCTGGAGATAAATTTTCTGTCACTGAAGATTTCAGTGTCACATTCTTCTAGTGTTACTTATTCCCTTAGAGGGGAATCAAATCATTATGATATTTGACTCATTAGTAGGCCATCAAATCTGACTTGGTTTGAGTTTTCAGCATCCAAAAATTCATTTGGACTGATACTCGTACATGCCAAATGTCTTCCAGGACCTTAAACAAAAATACACAAAGAAAGGCTGACTTGTGTGCTTCAACAGGAAAGAAATCCACATATGAAGAAGGCTGGAGTAGTCCCTCTAACAGGAAAATGAGGAGCCAAGGTTGTAACAAGTGTTGCACACCCGTCTTCTCAAGATCAGTCCTGGTGCTTTGGCCTCTGTGTACTATCTTTGATCTTGCATAATGAAGGTGACTAGTTTTACTGTCCATCTTTGAAAATGAGAGTAGCTCTTGAGTTCAGTATGCAAAAACCAGAAGCACCCGGAAATGCAATTGAGCCCATAGCACTTGAAATCCCCTGGGGCTTTTGAAAACATCTTGATTCTATGAAGACAATCACAAATTAGTAGAAGAAAAGCATTTTAAATACTTCTGAAAATCCCACCCTGGTTTATTTGGCAGGTGAAAAAAGAACCTATGAAAGATTGTACATGCAACGATCATTCAGACAAAGTAGGTGTTCATAGGAAATGCTCATGTTTAAATCTTTTGGCAGTTAATGATCATCTTTACAGACCATAATACTTGAATATTTCACTTATCAATACATCAGGGCTTGGATGAACTTTGAGACGTATGAAAGTGGGACACTCCTTAGGCCCTGGTAGCTCTGTGTTCCAGTAACTGATCAACCAATTACATAATTGGCCAGATTGCCAACTTGCATAAATAGATACAACTCAGTTGACCTCACTGAAGGTGACAGTTACCTGAGAATTGACCCGAAACTCTTGCCATGAAGCAGATAATGGTTTCGTATTTTGCTGTTTAGTGTTGTTGTAAAAATAGATTCATTTCCTGGAGCAGTTAAATCAAGAAAATCTGAAAAAGCAATTTCTCACAGAGACTCGTCCACATTGGAATTTGCCGAGGTCCCCGGATGTGAATATGTGCTGTTAGAAAACAGCAAACAGCAACTTTGTTTAGGGAAGCCTCTGACCTGCAGAACATTTGTTACCAGACTTTTCCTTGGCAATTAGCGGGTAGAATTGCTCATAGAAATTGTTTTGTTTGCTCACAAGGGGAGAAGCAAGGCATAAATTCAAGTTATCCCCTGTTTAACCACAAGAAAGAAGACTCTGTTCACAGAGGGCCTGTGGATGAAGTGCTGAGCAGCCTCAGCTCTCTCTGGGGTATGGACTCAAACTTGTAGACCTCAGTGAAGTATCAAGATCCCTCCAGAATTGCTGTATATCCCTAGCTATGATTATTTTTTTTATTTTTTTTTTAATCAGTGTAAGGAATTTGGGCAACCCATTTTAATTTATTTTTACAAGACTTTCAAGAAACCTCGTTTGGCTTCAGAATGTCTCTGTCTTGGTTCTGCAGAGGCTAATTTTGACCCAGGGATGTCACCGTGGCTGCTGTCTTCCTTCTCTACGTAGCAGCACTCTAACCTTAGGTTTTCTTTCCGCTGTTTGGTGTAGGTGTTTCTCAGCAGTGATGTTTCAAGTGCTCTGTTCACTGCTGGGACAGCCTAACATTTGATATGGGGAGTCCTACTTATGCTAGCCGTGCTTCACCTTTTCCTTAGCACTTTGGCTTTATATGTCTTTTCTATATGAAAGTGGTGCTGGTTTAAATTGAAGACGCGGGAAGTTTCAAGAAGCCAGATTTTCTGCTATGGGCCCTGTTCTGCTGGAGCCTCTTGCCCAGCTGTGCCAGCTGTGTGGGGCCAGAGAAAGAGGGAGAGATTCTGCAGCACTTCAGGGAAGCCAAGATATGACTCCTCATGCTCAAATGGTTCTGCCTGGACATACATCCCTGGCTGCCACTAAGCACTGTGGTTTCCCCCTTTCCCCTTTTCCTTGAGGGCTGATGTTTCCCTGATGTCAACATGTCCCTCATGCAGGGGAATGTCTCATGCTGCATTGTGTGGTTGAGGAGACATGGTACCTACTCAACAGCAAGATCCCCATGCACACTGAGGGGTCTGTGCTCATGCACTTGGGAGTGAAGAGATTTCTTGGTCCAGACTAGTCCACAGTGCAATAAGCTGCTCAGAGGTCTCCTTTGAGCCAGGAAGCTACTCAAAGATGCGTTCAGGATCTGAATTCTCCTTGGCTGCAATGGGTTTCCACAGCAAAAATGACAGAAGCAGTTTATCCCAAATGATAGAGTGGTTTCTTCAACAGGCCACGTAGGAGTCCTGCAAGTTAATGCTCAACTTGCATACTTTACCGATTGCCACAAATACTGCTTTTAAATCTAATTGTCACTGTTTATTCAGGGATATGTTTCTCTGACATATGCTTCAAAAGATCTTGCCTAACAGCTTGTATCCATTTGTTGTGAAGAGCCTGCTGGCCGATCCAAAATGGTTAGTCTATGTCTGCATACCTAATAGGGGTTTGGGGACTTTGCAGCTGTGGTTAGTGAGTGCAAATGTTTCCCATTAGCTCCCTCCATTCCGCTAAGTTGTGATTCAGCAAGACGGTGGAAAGCTGAGCTTGAGGCATGTGAGGTGTTTCTTTGAAGTTACTCGTGCTTAAAACTAGGCATGACCTGAGTTTCCCTGCTAAACTGAGGCCCTGAAGAACCTACTGTGCTAACACACTCTAAACTTAGTCTTTTCCTCTACGCATTGTCTGGAGTAATGTTAGTTTCAGAACCGGTCTGCAGCCTTTCGGTAAACTATTCCATAGGAATGAGGGAAAGCTTTTAAGTATTTGGTGGCTTTCTACCAGCAAGCTCAGCTACACTAGAAAGCCCATAGTAGTGCTTGCCTTCTCTGGGCATTCTGAGGTCTCTTCCTTCCTTATTTCCTTCAGTATGTTTCTTTTCTTAAAATAGTACCTTAAAAAGGTGGGGAATTAAGCAGATCATATAATCTTGACTCCTGTATCTCACTTAATTAATGAGAAGGTTGCTGATAGTCATCTGGTATTTCCTAAACCAAGCATATATGAAGAACACTTTTGAGCAGCTTCAAAAGAATTTTCAGGCTAGATCAGGAAAAGATAAAAGCAGAAGTGGAAACTTCTAATATACTTTATAGCTCATTACTTACAGGAAGTGCATTGTTCTGTCGGTTGCTAATGAATTCTGCAGGATGAGATTTCCAAAATTAAAGAAAATGGCACCTCCTGTATCTTAGAGAGAAGGTCTGAGGGTTTTTGCATTGGGTGTGTATGGTCATATCACCTGGAAAGGGTCTCCTTGTGGAAAAAGGCTTTTTAAAGTTTCAAGTGTGTACACTATTTCTGTAGCGACTTCCTGGTCAAGCTACGAAAAGTGATAAAGGGAATGGTAAAAGTCTTATCTTGGTTTCAGTTGCCCTGTTCTACACCTTAGAAGGAAGAGACATCGCACTGAATGTATCTGGCTGCAAAGAGGACAGCAGGAACATGGATTTACTGTTAGTGAGTTGATGGTCTCAGTATTGTGAGGCAGAAATATTTCATATTTGTAAAGCACCCAGAGATCCTACAGATAACAAGTAATCAGCTCTTGTATTTCACTCAGATTGTAAGGATAGCTTTGCTGTATGTATGAACGTATTTTAGGCAGCAAGGCATTTCCATCAGGGCTGAAACACACGGGTAGTGAAGCTTGAATATTTTCTTCTTATGTACAGGCAAGATGTTTAAATATTGGGTTGGTTGCTCTTTGCATCTTTAGGCACCCAGATGCTTCTAAACTTGTGGTCACTGGAAGGCTGTAGTCTTAGTGAAAATCAAGAGGCATTTGCCCTTGTGAAAGTTCTTACTCATGCTTGAAAGTGAGATTTGGACTCCTAAGTCACAAAGATGCTTTTGCAAATGTTGTATCTGTCTTTCTGCTTCTCTATAAATCAACCTGCTTGGCCTGAACTGAATGTTTAAATAATAAACAGCTGAAGGACAGTCTCATTGCTTCTTTCTGAGCATTTCCCTTATGGAGCACTTGGGGTCACATGGCATCTGCTCTGACCTTATGGACCTGCTTTTTGGAGGCTTTTTTATGATGCTAACAAACCCCACATTTTAACTAGCCGTAAAATAAGCCAGTCAGTGGTAACTATTCAGGACAGGGATTAGAAGAGTATTCTTTCTGGGATACAAGATGGCTCTGTCCATGTGCTGGCCAGGGATGAAGGGCTGGAAAACTGTGTGGTGGAAGAGACTATTAATGTGATTTTCCACGACTTTCCTTGCAGCTGCATTTTTGAGGAGAGAGAGAGATGGCTAGGCTTGCAGTAACATGTTGTGCCGTCATAAATGCTACAGCCACCATCTGTTTCCAGCCCACGACTTGAAAGAAAACTGAGCAGTAATCTCATAATTCACATGAGCATTTTACACTTGTGAACCCTTCCCAACCTTTGTCTAATAATGAGAGGAGTGCATGGTGCTAAGGTTTGTATTTTTCCTGCACGTATTAGTGTTTATTTGTATGTCTCTTTCTGTTGTGTTGTGTTTTGTTTTGTTGTTTTTTTATTATGGGCCCATAAAAAAATTTCTCTGTGAGGCAAGTCAGACCAGTTCCATGGTCAAAAGAAACATAATGAAGGCAAAATCCCAATCCCATTGACCCTGCTGGCAAAATTCGACAGGAGGAAGTGCATTTAACATTCCTCGTTGTATCTGTCTTAGTTACTTGTTGATTAAAAGAAAGACATTAGAAAGTGAAGTGGCAGGTTGCTGAACTGCCCTTTCCCCACAGAAACAGAGCTGCTAGAATAGCTGGCCATGTGCGTTTTAAACCCGCACCATCAGATAGGATGGTAATGGTAGGTTGGATTTTAATGAAAACAAATTCTTCTGCTAATCTTCGCTTCGGGCTGGCCCTCCGTGGGATTAAGGATACCACCTGCTGTGCCAAAGACATGCTCAGGTTCGAGGCTGCTGGTGGGTGGGAAGAACACAGACATCCGAGAGTGCCTCTGGAGAGCGATCTCTGTCTGTCCTGTTGCAGTGCCCTCAGGGAAGCCAAAGAATTGAGATCATTCAGTTGATGGAAATACTGTTCCCCTCCAGCCTGCAAAGCAAGGCGAGCATCATTAAGGATTCCTTTTTGACTGTTCTGCAAAACCAAGGGCTGCTGTTTCTCTGGGCCTCCTCTCGTCTTTGGACCTAATTTGCACGCCTCCTGCTAGCACAGCCGAACCCGCTGAATGAACTCCTCCTCTCCTCTGGCCTTAGAAGCAATGACTTTCATCATCTTGACCAGACTGCTGAGCAGTTTAGGGATGAAAGGGCTTCTCATTTCATATATCTCACTGCTGCTAGAACTATAAATCCCTGATGGACTGAGTTTATAGCAAACTGCTACTGCAAGCAAATGAAATTTATTTTGTGTTGTCATATGTATGGTCAAATTGTCCAAGAAGTTGCCAAACGAACTGAGCTGCTGATGGGCAACCCATTCGATCTCTTCTCATTTTATTTAAAAATAATAATAAATAACTATCGATCAGAGGAACTTATTTTGACATGTGCTACCTGTCGGGTGATCCTCAGTATCTTCCAGATGTGTATGTAAGTCGAAGAAAGCTGCCACTTGTTGCCAGGTCCAGCAGTCATGACCTGAAGTTCCACCAAGAAAAGGTTTGTGGGCTCAAGTGGGACTGGGGACAGGTGAAAGGCCACCTTCTTTTTTAGCACTGCTTGCTGTTCTGAATGTGTTTGGTCAGGTAGCAAGGGTGTGCAGAGGCCACATCCAGCCACGCTGACCTCTGCTTGAATCAGTGACAAAGGTTCATTGACCTGTGTATGACAGTGGCCCTTCTGTCTTGCAGTTTAGTCAAAGATATATTGTTGGGGGATCTCTGGGGCCCAGAAAGTTGGCCCATGTCTATTTTGGTGCCTTGTGATGGCAGATAAGCTAAAAAGAAAATAGTAGAAACTCTTCAAGCTGATGGGGTCTGAACCATATATATATTTCTATATCATTTTCTTATAGAGCAAACAAGCCTGAAAAGTTCCCTTACTTTTATTTTTTACCAGGGTACTTAATTATAGCTGGGGTGTTGGGAGCTGGGGCATGAAACAGACTTTCCCCACTTATTCCTGTCATTCTGCTGGATTCCATCTCTGCAGCCTCCCTTGTCTGTATTTTATGGACACATCTGGTGTATCTGCCCTGCACACGTGCTGGTCTGAGCCTTCTCCCTGCCAGCACACACGTTGTGGCCTTTGGTGTCCATGGAGTCATAAGCATCTTTCCTGATGCTTGTTTTTGCATGAGAGAGAGAGAAGGGGCACGGGAAGGGCAGTGGCAGGGAAGGCCTCTGACATGAAATTCCCAGGAACAGGATTTGCACATTTTATGACCGTTCAGTTGGAAATGCAATGGAGCTGAATTATTTCTCCTTAATCCTGGTTTCTCACTTTCCTCCCAGCAGCCTCTTCCCTCGAGTTTAGGTAATACAGAAGCTTATAAACAAATCCCACCGCGTGAAAAATAGCCAAGGAGGCAGGGGGGAAAAGACCTGGGTTAGGGCTGTGATGGATAGACAGGTGGAAAGCAGGCACCAGAAGGGAGGATGAATGGTAAAAGCCTTTGATGGAAACACTAAAGAGCTATTGAAAATCCAAGGGGTGGGGGAAGGGAGGAGGAAGAATAGCAAGAGGAGGGAAAGCAAGGGAGCCGTGCCCCCTTCCCCCCCGCCCTCTTTCTCAGGATGTTGAAAGTATTTGTCCTTCGTTACAAAATGATTGAACTGCCGCCAGGCCAGGCCACCCTTCCAGTCACTGCGCTAGGAAACTGGCACTTCTGAAAGCCTCGTCGCCTCTCAAATTTTATAGCTTTCCCTTTTTTGTGGGAGTTTTTGTGTTGTGCTGCTTGCAGGATTGTTTTCAGATTTGCTGCCTATCAAAGAAACTATATTTTGTTGCTCTGACAAACACAGAACCCAGGTAGTAAAGGAAGAATTAAGAAAATAAAGGCCCATTTTTATCAGAATACCCAGCTGTCTGCCTTTTATTGAGTCAGAATTTCATGCATTTGGTATTCATGACGTTGCATTAATATTCCTTTGCTTTATCTCCAGTGCTTTTTGAGGGAGAAATTTCATCCTTTAAATAAAGCTTCGACTTTATTAATGTCTGTATGTGCACAAAGCGGTTCCTGTTCTTCATAATCAAAGTAGTGAAAATGATCCTGTTATAATTGAAATGATTTTTGCATTAGGCAGATGCAGACAACTGTGGGAAGCAATAAACTGTCTCCTTTTCGGAATGGTCCCTGAAGTTCTGCAATGTCAGAGTCCTGCAAGATCTACAGACAGAGTGTTAAAGATCTGCATACAAGACTGTTCTTGCTGCCAGAGGCTGTATTTATATCATGTATTTATATGTGTATGTATTTATATAAGCCTGATGCTCGGAAAGGACTGAAGCCGCGTGTATCCTCAAGAATTAGATCTGTGGGTCTGTACACACATTCTCTACCCAGGCTCTTGTTAACCAGGGGAGGACCCAGGGCCATGCTGTTGACCCAGTGCCACTCATGTGCCATCACTGCTTGTGAGACATCATAGCCAGGCAGGGTGAGAAGGGTCCTGGATGTCCCCTGGGCTGATACTTGCTCTGTGTGCTGAATGGGTGTGTGTCCTTCCTTTCCATCGCTGCATCGCCCTCAGTGCAGCCCCAAGGGCGCTCCTTCAGGTCAACAGCGCAGACAGCTGTCTGTTGCCTCCAAGATTAGATCCTGGGATTAGGTCTCTGACGGGCTGGCAGTGCCATACAATTAAAATAGGCCTAGGAGAGCAGAAAGGCAATATGCAGCCCATACACAGCTGAATTCTGGGGGGCCCGTGCAGCCTCTGCAGCTGAAAGCAAATCTCTCCGCTAACGTAGTTGTGCAATAGCATTTTCCACCTAAGCACCTCCAGTGCCTGGGTACATTCATTAATGTTTGCAATGCCCTGAGAGAGGTAACACTTCCAGAAGAAGAGAAAGGGTAAGTGATTTGCTCAAGGTTAGATGGGGAGTCGCTGGAGATGGTTCTTCAGTCTCCTGCCTTCAAAGGAATTTGCTGCAGTGACCAAAGCAAACAGCCCCTGCTGTTACAGAGCCGCACCATGGCGTGTCATTTGCACTTTGTATCTGATATGCTGTGTCTGGGAAGGTATCGCTGTCCTTGTGAACTAACTTTTAGTTCTTGAGCGTGGGTGAACACTTGTCATTGTGCCAGGATGACACAAAGTCTAGAAATTATGATAGCAATTCAGGTCATGGTATAACGGGGAAAAAATGCTGCCTCAGAAGTGTCCCCGTCTTGTGTCACAGCTAGCGATTATTTAAGCTGCAGGACATGGCTGTGGCAAAGATCAGGTTGTAGCTGATATGAATCATGCCTTGAAATAACACTTTCCTTCTTACATTGTGAAAATTGCAGAAGTATGGGAAGTGAGGGAAAATGGGATTTCCCTGAAGGTTAAAGATTTCCCTTTAATCAGCCTTCATAATGTTAATTAAACGTTTGGAACAATGGCTTAGTTGCAGGATCCGCCCGCTCTTGCATAACTATCTCACAATACCGTTTTCACTTTCATGTTTATTTGCCAGCATGATTCAAAGCAGGAGCTTAGCATGACTGCTGCACCAAGGAGCTGCTTGGCTTTGGGGAAAACTCAACTTTCCTACCTCTCCTAGAGAGGGAAGACCCAAACTCCCCCCCTGAGAAGGAATCGCAGCACTTTGTCATCATTACCCCTTCTGCAAATGAGGCTAATAAAAACTTAGTGGTATTTTGAGACTGGTACATACAAATATATACCCACCCATATGGAGAAATGGGTGTGTTTATAGAGATCAGTACATGGATATATTCTGGGTAGGTAAGATACATTACAGTGCCACTTGTTCCCTGAATTTTTCTCTCTGCAGTGTCGCTGCTATGTGCCCATGGGAGCCAGTGTTCCTGGTCCTTTGAGCAACAGGCTTAATATAACCCAGGCTTGAATCGCACACATGGAATGCTCAAGGGGAAAGAAAATTTGGGGGATGGTTTACAAGCAAGGGATAACATTGATTACCCCAGGGACCGTACACCATGGGAGTGGGAGCTGCACCAGGCATGTTTCCATGGCCAGGAGGTCCTCTTGGTGCCAGACTGGTATGTCTGTCCTGCTGGGTCTGAGGTGTGTTAAGTCTGTCCCAGAGCTGGCGTAGTGAAGTGCTCAGGGCAGCCACCAGCTACAGACGTGTGTGCAGTGCACATGCATGCAGAGTCACAGCCCACCTGCCTTTGGTCTTCAAGTTAGACAAGACTTTTTTCAAAACTAAGGTATTAAAACTTACAAATGTCAGCCTTTATCAGCAAAAAAAAAAAAAAAAAAGAAAAGAAAAAAAAAGAAAAAAAACCCCTATTCTATTTTAGGTCAAAGTGTTATCTAGCCCAAGATTTTAAATATGTGCAAAATGCAGTTTCTGCAGAAGGACCATTAATCAGCCGCTGGAAGAACTGCCTTTTGCAAACTGCAAAGATGAAAACAAAATGCTGTGAGTGCTGGGGCAGCTCCATTTTCCCATTGTAGGGACGGCAGACCTCAGTGCACGAGGGCACCTATACCCGTGCAGGCTCTTGCTTCCCTCGCAACGTGTTAACATCTTTGGAAAAGCTGTTTAAATACGCCAAGCCGCTTGCCACACAAGCTCTACATGGCAGTTTCCCTGTTGACACATGCTTTTGTCTGCTGAGAGGAGGTGCTCTGTCAACATAAATGTTAGATGGTTATGTTACTTATTTCTGGTTATTGGTTCTAAATTAGTAGCTCAGAGGCACATACCTTTCACACAGGCAGGGCAGGGACTGCCTCTCTTCTCCCTGCCTTTGGAAACTTTGACCTGCTAAGATCACAAGCTGTAGGAAATCTTGGAGGCGAAGTCCCAGGTACTGCCAGCAGTAAAAGCCTGGAGTAAACAGATTAGGTGGGTTTGAAAGACGTTTTAAGGGACCTTGGACAATCTGAACCAGTTTCCACATACCACAGGCAAGATTAATTTCAAGACTGATTTTGATAGCATGAAGGCTTCCTCCTTAATATAGGAATTGTCTGTGTAACTTATACATACATATATATATATGTTCTTCTGTTTGGCAGCGCGGGATATGAGGAATCGAAACTTCTCCACACCCCTTTGATTAGCACAGGAGTGGCAGCAGGAATTTTTTCTGTCTTAGTCATTCTGGGCAACCTTTGAGCCCAGTTTTTCCACCCTGTTCCCATTAAGAAGCTGCAGAGGCCACATGAGAGAGCCCCCAGCCAGCTGGGAGCTGTCAGCTGCCTTCAAAGGCTCATCCAGCCTTTCCGTGATAAATCCATGGTGAGGTGTGTAATGTGCGTGGTATCAGCCCCATATCCCACACAGTTCCTGTCCCAGCAGGGATAAAAGTTTTGTAAAAACTTGAGTACAAAAGGGAAAACCCAGTTCTTGAACTTTTTAAGTCACTTTATGGATTAGTAAAGGATATTTGGTTTGGGCCTTACTTGTCTATAACTGACAGTCCTGGCTGTAGGTTTTACACTGCAGGAGTGGGGTGGCAAAGCCATGAAAACTGAGCTGTTCCCTCCAGGATCCTCCAGTGCAGATGGCAAAGGACATTGTTAATTTACACACAAAAGAAATGAAGAATCCTCTCTGGGCATTTTGGGCTGAGAGAAACGAAATTTTTGTTGTCAGTCTGGCTTGGCATCACCTTTCCAATTCTCTTTTGTTTTGTCTCTCCGTGATTCATCTCTCCATTCCACTTCTCTTTTGTTTGTTCCATAATTGCTGGCTTAACCTGGAGGCACGAGGCTTCCTTGTGGAAACATCACCGTGCTGTCAATCAGCAAAGGAGAGGTGGTACAGCTGGAGCAGTCCTTCCTCCCTCTCAGGAGTGAATGAATCATCCCTTGAATATGCAATATCATCCAGGACAGGAGCCAGGATCCTCAACAGGCACATGAATTCCAGCATCTCTGGAAACATTATTTCCACATTTTGGGCAGACTAAGAGACAGTAAGTAAATAAGCAAGCTGTGGCATTTGCAATCTCTGTAGTTTTATTTAAAGTGACTGCCTGTGCTCTAAATGCTTCTGTGGGTATTAAAAATACAAAGAGAAAAGCATGTATCCTTGATCTGATACAGCCCAAGGCAGCTTCACAGTATGGCCCATTTAATGCCATTGAGCAGTCCACTGAACAATTAAAACCCACCAGAAAAAAAAACTGCCTGCTTTCCCCTGAAAAATCACATGAACCAGTGCATCCCAAAACCTCTGTGTCACTGGTCTCTGTACTTCTCCTTTGAAACAGTGCCAGTACTGTCTCTTGGTCCTGCGTAGAGATGTTGCCCATTACCTATGCACAGGAGCAGCACAAGGCATACAGGGTCCTTCTCTCCTTTCTTGTTCAGAAGTGTTTTCTCTCCAAGGAAAAGGCCAGTTTTCCATGGCTGCTCCTGGGTAGTGGCTGGGATGTAGCCTGGGAACCAGGGAAGATTTGCTGCATGATCAGGTAGTCCATGATGCAGCATTTTGTAACATCAACTGGTTTTCCTTAGCTCCTGTGTGCTGTGTTTATGAATTCAGTAGAACTGGCTCTGAATGAATATAAAATTAGATTTCACTGTTGAATGTGGGAGAAATACAATGGGAGAGGCACACTGATCCCATGAAGCAGAGAAATAATGGTCAGAAGGGCTACAATATCATCATAACAACTCTGTTATTAATACCAATAGCTAAGACTTTTTCTGCTTTGTTTTTGTACCAAGGTTATAGCTTCATCAGTACTTCTGATGATAACGGTGAAAGTGAAATACCATTGAAATTGTCTTCCTATATGTTTAAACCACTCTGGCACTTTTCCAGGCAGTATTTGTGCCCCTGTTTATGCCGCAGACCCTGGTGACCTTAGAATACTTTTATTTACGACAGCATAAGCATCATTTCCATGGCAACATCCTTTTC